AGTGTTATTTGATCTCCCGAATGCCGACAGGAAGGCCATTAATATGTACATGAAAGGTTATGAGCCAGAAAACATCCGTCTGTCGTTATTAGGGTAAAACCAAATGAAAATGGTTTTAATATAGCATAGTATTGTGTTATTTTGTTATATCAGCTTAGCCTTATAATATAGTGTCATTATGTATTAGAGCTACTTGGATGCGCTTTTCTTTACCAGTCCAACGGCGTATTTATCAAAACTCTGGGCCATATCCAGATCTAGAGGGCTGAGGTCTTTGATATCGTCGGTATGCAAAGTAACCTTCACTTTGTTATATTGCTATAAGAATGTTAGTTTTGATTGTAATGAGCTTACCACCTTAATTTCGGGCCTATAAAGGGAGTTAAGCTAGTATATACTCACAGTTTCTATGTATGGATGATGTCTAGCGGCATGTGACTTCATAGAGATTTGAGTTAAAAACGCCTAAATTATTTTCATTAGTAATGGTTCTTGAATACTCCAAATCACTGTGCCTGTATAAAAGTATAGTTTGCGTACATACCCAGGTTCGCGCATAATCCTTGAGTGTGTAAATTTTCTCAATTCCCCGCCCCGAGGAGTCTGCTATACTTTGACTAGCATAATTATGGCTCTTTTCGGCCATAGACACTAGCTGCCAGCCCTGTTGGCGAAGTTGAGGCCAGCACGCGTCAAAGTGGGCTGTCGTTATATTGACACTGTTAGAGGAGGCGAAGCGGACGAGGTAAGGTGTGGTTGGAATACGACTATTAAAAGTGACCTTTACCGTTAAAGTGATCCTAGGCGATCGAATGAAGTTCATCCGTAGCATTATATCAGGTAAAAAGCAAAACTACTATGGCTCGACAATTATGTTTTTTAAGCTAGAGTTCCTTGTGTTGAAGCGGCCAACATCAGGTTTCGATAGCGACCCTAACCCCAACATATAAACTGTGAAAAACGATATTTTTGGTTATATATATAAATGGATATATATAAATAAAATTAGCTGAATGCTAACCCCACCAACAAGTGAGCCTTATGAATGCTATTAGGCAGGATCTCGAGGGGATACAGCGAAAATAATTTTAAAAGACCTGTTTAGTACCAGAAACCACCCTTTGGTGGATAAACCAGCCATCGGAACAATGGTTTGTAACGAAATCACTCAAAAAGTGACGTTGGTAGCCTATTGACATATATCGATATACTCCAATGCTATTAATTAAAGAATCAACTCGGAAAAACTGGTATTTTCTCTCTTGTATCAAAAGTGCCAAGTATGTTATAATTAATCCTAATTTTTTACCATACATAATCAATCAAATTATTTACCAATTCAGGCAACTTCAAACCAGGGATAGACTCTAGGGATTTTTTTCATCATTAAATTGACTAACAAATGTAGAGTTTAATTTTTAGATATTATTATATAAAATACGATAGGCTAGAAGAGAGATTAACAGTCTAAATTAATTCCCCATCAAGGGCAGGTATAATGTCCAGGCGGCGAGTTGTTTCGGCGAATAACATTACCCAATAAGGGCTTTTAGTGGTTCAATCCATTTTCACATCACCGTTCTTTCCCGTTTTTTTCTTCCTCTACCGCGGCGCTCAATCGAAGTTTAAACCCGCGTATCTGTGTCCATCCCGCCTGGTGCCCACCTACTACTTTTCCCGGGCGTTAGATAAATTTAATAAAAATACCCCAGTTACCCATGACTTGTCAACCGCTAGTGTCTATTTCCTCGGTAGATTTAATTCACTCGGCTGAGCCGCGTGGTGAGGCCAAAAAGTTTAATACCAAGGTTAACGCTAAACTCGAGCCCAGTTTCAGCTCCACCGGCGACGACCATCACTGTGATTATAGCCCGGATAACCAGGAATCGGAGACTTCGCAAGACGAAAAAGCGCCAATGATTGATGAAGAGTACTTGCCGAACGAATATGACCTTAGCTCGCCTTCTTTGTTTATTGGTAACTTGGATCGGACTATCACCGATGCCGATCTGCAAAAGGTCTTTGGCTCCATTGGCCCATTCTTCTCTATCAAGGTATGTGAACCCAAAACGACAGAATCCAGTCGAGGCTACGCTTATGTGAACTATATTCATTTACATGATGCTATCAAGGCTATCCAGCTACTCGATGATCAGCCCATTTTCATCAACGAGAGCGATAAGCAGCTGCATGACCCCACCTTGAGGATACAAGTACGACCCGCTCAACGAAAAGAGTTTCGAGTTTTCTTTAAAAATTTGGATAGCTCCTTTATCGACCAAGCTAGACTCACTAATAATGGTAATGGCAATTGCCAAGTTGAGAATTTGCATCAATATGCTGGTAATCAGGCTTTTTTAGACCTCTTCTCTCACTACGGTACTATCAATGAATACAAGATTTTTATTCAACATGATAGATTTACACCTCATATAACGTCATCAAACTCATCCTCGTCTATTTCCTCCCCTGTATTCACTTCTTCATCGCCGGATTTGACTCCCTCCGGTTCGTTGGTCGCCAAACTTAGTGTGGGGTTCGGGTACCTTGACTATGACACCAAGGAAAGCGTCAATGCAGCCGTTAATGAATTAAATGGCAAACAAGTAGGTGACTTCACGCTAAACGTGGGATTTCACAAGTTTAAGCCCAATCGTCATAATAGTTACAATTACCGAGGAGCCAAAACCGCATCTGGCACGTCCAGTAATGACAGGAAAGATACTGATGACGATACTTATAACACCAATATCTTTATAAAGGGGTTTTCGGAGGATCTTACCCAAGATGAATTTAAGAACATTTTCAGCAAGGAGGGCCACTATAAAATCGTTAACGTGTCGTTTCCTAGCAATGCTCAGACCAAAAAATCGGCTGGCTATGGCTTCTTGAAACTTATTTCAAATGAAAAGTGTCGCGAATTTATTCTAGAATTTAACGGTAAAGATATCTTGCTTGACGGACGATGTATTCTGGTAAGGTTTTCCAAAAATAGAAATAGCGCCCATAACCAGCATCATGGCCAACCACATCAACAATATCATCAATATCTCAGTAACCAGTATTACAATTACAACCAGAATTCTAGCTTTAACTACAGCTTTGACAATAACTCGACTGTATATGTGAAAAATCTGGATAACTCTGTTTCGGAGGCTGATCTGTTGCAAAAATTTGAGCCTCTAGGAAATGTGATATCACATAAAATCATGTTTGATGATCAGGGTCGCTCGCGTGGGTTTGGCTTTATTAAATACCAAGATGCGACTTCTAGCCTCAGCGCTATTAATAAACTCAACAACCAGGTATTAGGGTCGCGCCGTATGTTTGTATCTGCAGCGCAGCGAACCAATACCAATCGCGGACCTCATATTGATAAAAACCAAACCGGTGAAGGTAAATATTACGATAGTAGGTATAGTGGACCATCTAATCGGGGATATAGCGGCCGTAGTAACCGCCAGCAAAATCAAAATTTTGACAATATGAGCCGCCCAAATCATAGTAACCGTAACCATCACCAATATACCACATCATCCCTAGCAGCCGTTATTGCTAGCGCTGCTAACCCACTAGCGCAACGTGAGATAATGGGCGAGGAGATTTACCCCAAAGTATTGACTCATGCGCGAATCGCCGGCAATGCTCAGTTGGCGAGTGTCATAACGGGGGTAATTCTGGAACTAACGGTTAGTGATTTGCTCAACTGGGTCGATGACGAGAGTCATATGAATAGGGTTATTATGCAAGCTCATGATGCCTATCTCAAGTACCAAACGAAGGTTGCGTAACAGAAACTGAGAAAAGAAAAAGGAGTGGGTATTATATACATATAAAGACGTGCTCACTGTATATATCAAGCGTCATATAGTAGTGTAATCACCTGCAATGAAATCAAAAGTTTAGCTATAAATAATTTATTATTGGTATTATTTGATTTGTATATACAAAAAAAGTTATGCAAAAAGAAGTGAGACTATTTAACTCAAAACTATTTTTTTGGGAAAACCCAATACTTTAAAAGGGTTTATCTTTATGTTTTTGCTTAAGACGTTCTTCCAACTTATTGAATTCGGCCATATTCTTAGCCTCTTCGGGGCCCATGACGGATTTCACGCCCTTGACCTCTTCTACATAATGCATCAGCATGGATTCAATACCATGTTTAAGGGTAACTTCACTAGAGTCACAGGTACGACAAGCGCCACGAAGACATAGGGATACAATTCCGGTTTCTTCATCAAACTCAATGAAATCAACATCGCCACCATCTTCCTGAATTGCCGGCCTGATACGAGTATCGATAAGTTCCTTGATGAGTTCAACCAACTCATCATCTTCTTCCACCGGAGGCGCAGAAGAGTTATTTTGGGGCTTCATCGCAGGGTCTTTGCTTTCTGTATGGGCCGTAAGGGCTTCAAAAACCTCTAGCTTGAGCTCGTTCCAACTCATTTCAGGCTCCTTTTCCACTGTAACGAACTTAGGTCCAATCAATACTGACTTTACACCGGACATTTCAAAGATGCGCGCAGCCAATGGTGACTGCTGAGCACTGCCTCGACTCAAAAACTCAATCGTGGAGTTAGACAAGTAATGAGGCTGGGTTTTGTTGGTATTCTGGTAGAGGGCGGTTTCAGGCAAGAACTTGAGTGCATCTGGATTAGGCGTGGTGGTTGTATGGATATGTAAGAGACGAATAAGAGCAGAAGAAGCAGCGGAACGGAAGCTAAAGGGCCTCAGGAGCTTCTGATGCGAAGCAGTATTAAAATTAAATCTAGTGAGCATCTTTCATAGGTGAATCTACTGTGGCTTAACTTGGAGATTCGAGATTCTTGAAATCAAATCATGATAAGCCGGGGTGGAAACAAATTATTAATCTTATTGACTACACAGGCGATGTGATTGGCCAAGGTTGGGAGAAAGTTCCTAGAGTAATTAGGTAATTTTCAAAATTTGGGCCTAGATTACAATTTGTTAAATGAGATATTATTTAAAAACCTGCGGATTTAGCTCAGTTGGGAGAGCGTCAGACTGAAGTATAACTTTGGTCTCAGTCAATCTGAAGGTCCTGTGTTCGATCCACAGAATTCGCAATGTTTTTTGAAATTAAGTTTTTCACTTTGTTTTTGCTTCTAATGTTATGGCTACGCGACCCCAGGTGTTTCGATGTAGCAATTTTATACCACCCCAGTAAAACACTTTTTTTTTCATGTGAATGCTGATTGTACTCAGTAAGCCTAACTTAATCAAACAAATATTATTGTCTCCTTTTTTTAAAAGATTAGTTTTTGAATTTTTGAATGAAAACGGATATAGTTTAAAGCATTAATAATTTATTGTATATATTAAAAGGTTAACGAGCGAAAGAATAGCATGCAAATATATACAGATAATAAAAGTTCATAAAAAAAGACTGCAACACCTTATGTTCCCACGTGGTCTCCCACCGTAGTACTTTTTAAGGCTCTCACTGGCTTAACTATGATTGATCGGACGGGAAATCGTGCTCTCCAGTGGATATGGCCGCAGACACATAAAAACAATATAAACTATGTATAGGGCACACTGCCTTGAGTCTCCTGATCAAGGGTGGTTAGATTATAACGCTGACTCGAAAAGAAATAATCTAATTGCACATTGAGAAAAACAAATGAGTAGGCTTATCGGCAACCAGGCTGATTGGTGTATTTTTCGGGGAAGTGGTTGGGCTTGAGTGTGAAATTGATCAGCTTTAGACGTCTTTGCGTTTCAGCCCTCATAGACTGGATCATTTTGGTCAATCAGGAACTATGTGTGCTTACTTCCCGGGGTTAGTGCTACTGGTTAATTGCCAAGTTCCACACAAAATTTCATTTCTAAATCTCAGATTAAATAACCTGTTGAAGCAACTATTACTGAATAAAACGCTTACATGGGCATGCTAGCAAGTTATTGTCTTGTGAGAGAAGAAGATTGGGGTTGGAACTGGTACGCTAGAGCGGCGGTGACATATAGAGTAGGGCGTCTGGTGTAGTTGGTTATCACATGCGCTTAGCATGCGCGAGGTCCCCGGTTCGATTCCGGTGTCGTCCACACTTTTTTGAAGCGCCAGTGGTATAGTGGTAAAATTGACCGTTGCCATCGGTGAGCCCTCAGTTCGATTCCGGGCTGGCGCAATGTAATTTATTTTCACCAAGCTTATTTCTGGATTGTTTTTCTAGGGTAGGTTGAATGTGTTGGTGATGAAAAGTATACAGATTTGGGAGTAGAGTGGCAAGAGAGGTTTCCGAATGTGTAACAAATTTGCAAAAAGGATATATACATATAATCTAAGCTATTTACCGAAACTTTCTCTATGCACACGGTGTGCCACGGGGATGAAAGGAATTTGGTTTTCGTATCACTTCCACATTTTTACTAGGCTGTCAAATGTTTCCAGCAGTTTGTTTCTAACAGCCACGGCATTTCTTTCTCGCTTTGAGCTTTCGGACCATCTCTGATGGGCCACGTTTTCGGCCTGTGCAATGGCCTGGCTAGCCTGTTGTAAGACCTGTTTTTGAAAGCTTTCAATGGCAATGCCCCAAGCGCGTTGTAGATACATTAAGCCAACGACGGTGCCCAGGGCAAAGACGCCGGTCATGCTATAAAGGGAGAATGAGTACTGAAAATATCCTGTGGCGGCCGCCAAAAATGTGGGCACTTGGATGGCGAGGATGGTGGTAGCCAGGATCGAGCGGGCCGAGTCTTCTAGCTGGGCGAGTGGAGCAGGCAGAGAGGAGTGTGCCGGGGCCGCGATTAGCTCGGATCTCGAGTCCACGATAACGGAGCTAAGGCCTACTTTGCCCTCGGTCAGGTCGGCTATTCCGAGATCCAGGAGCTCGTCGGTGCTGGACTGGGAGGGGTTTTGGGTAGTAGTGTAGTGGTCGATACGGCCTAGCAAGTACCCGAGGCGATAGCTGGCTCCGGGGAGGTAGCTGTCGATGAGCATATTTTCGGTAGCGGCGCGTACGTCGCCTATACGGTAGTAGAGTTTGTACCAGGGCAGGGACTTTTTGGCCCACCATTGCAGGCAGGGCTGGAGGACGGATTGGCGTTCTTGGTGGGCGTGTTTGGCCCAGTCGCGGGTTAGATTGCGGACCATGAGGTCTTCATGGGCCAGGGCGTGGGAGGCGCGGGCGGGGTCGGTGGCCATGCGATGCAGGGTGGCGGAGAGATGGACCAGCAGGGGAGTTAGGGAGTTTAGGGAGGGCGAGTCGGATAGGCGGTGGATCAGCTGGTCGATGTTGGAGTTGGTCCAGAGGGATGTGTAGGCCGTGGCGTTTGCGGTGGAGAGTTTGATTTGGCGGACGGCGTCGAGGGCCATGCGGGAACTGAGGACGACGACATGGGGTCCGAGATCGATTTTGTGGGTGAGGGTGTCGAGGTCGAGGACCATGAGGGCCGGGGCTAGGGCGGGGTTTTGGGCGGTGGGTTCGGGGAGCGGCGAGGAGAGGGCGCGGATGTCGTTGGTAACGAGGATGGTGTAGTGGCAGAGGGCGATGTTGCCGACGGAGTCGGCGACGGAGGTGGCCTCGAGGATCTGGAGGGGCCGGCCGTGGCGGGCGGGTCGGGGTGTGAGGAGCGGGGAGGGTACGGTGAACTGGACGCGGGAGTTGTGGGTTTCGGTGCCGGCAAAGGGACCGTAGGCGACGAGGGCGTCCTTCTGGAGGATGCGCTTGAGCCAGTGGTCATTGTACCAGGTCTGGTCTGAGGCGAGCGGGTCGGCGAGGGCGGCGTCCAGGAGGGACTTGATCTGGGGGCGGGAGGTGGAACCGTGGGGCACGAGGGCGACTCTGAGCGGGAGGCGGGGGTTTTCGAGGGTGGATTTCAGGAGGAGCAGGCGGGTGTGGATGGACTGGTGGTTGGGGAAGTTGGCGACGAGGTTGTCGAGGGTGGAGACGAGGTCCGGGGCGAGGTCGGGGCGGGGCGGGACGAGCGGTGACGGGGCGGATGGGGTGGGACAACGGTGTGAGGGGTGTGAGGGGTGTGAGGGGTGGAAATGGGCGGTCAGCGACGAGGCCGAGCCCTGGACAGTAGTAGTATGGCGACGTTGGGCGCTGAGCAGGCGCGGAACGGTGCGACCAGAGGGACGTAAGAACATTGCGGATATGAGAGAGGAATGCCAGCAAGAAAAGTGTGTGGTGTAGTAGCAGGGCTCATATGCTGTAGAGTAGAACAAAAAGAGAAAATCAAACAGATTGGCCCAGAGGGTCAAGTTTTGAGAGTCCGCAATCAATCAGTGTATTCAGGTCAGTGATCAGTAGACAAGTCAGTAGACAATGTGGAGGTCGGTCAAACAGAGTCAGTCCGAGTCAATTCGAGTCAATTCGAGTCTGTCCAATTCTGTCAGAGTAGTGTCCAGTTTGGGAGTCTGTCTGTTGTTTAGGGTTTGCAATGTTTCAACCGAATGCGAGCCACTATTCAGTCCCGACGGTATGCCGCGGTAGTCATTTAAAATAGTTTTATTATTAATGCGATTAGTCATGGCATAGGGTTCTCGACTGCAGAGTTTATTTAGAGTCTAATCAGCGACTAAGGTCAGTTATAGACTAAATTCAGAGTAAATTCAGAGTAGTCAGGGTAGTCAGAAAATAGTCAGAAAATAGTCACAAAATAGTCAAAAAATAGTCAGAGTTGTAGTCGGTGTTTTTTGTCTTTAATGTTTTTTGTCTTTAATGTTTTTTATCTTTTGTCGTTTGTCTTCTCCTTATTGAGCAATGCCTACAGCCGTATTGTATTATGCATTCTGCCGCGACCGCCGTTAGACGCCGTGCTAGGTGCTCCATACTAAACGTTTTTTCTCTTTTTTTCATTGTTTTTGATCTCTCTTTTGATCTCTCTTTTGGTCTCTATATCCCCGACCGAGGTCGTAACCTATATCTATCTTACCCCGTCCGCTCTTTTTCTTTCTCTCCGCGTCCCTTCCCCGTCCCCTCCCCCTCATCCTCCTCTTCTCCGCCTACCGCCCTGGTATGAACATCAACCAGACCATCACCGACCACTCGGCCGCCAGCCTCACCCACCGCCGCCCCAGCATCGTCCACTCCCTCTACAACACAGATGACGACATCTCCATCTCCCAGGCCCAGCACGAGTTTGACGTCATCTCCCGACACCTCTCCCTCATCAGCCACCGCGACAACTCCGCCCTCGATTCGGATTCCTACACCGACAACGACGACGACAACGACGACGACAACACCAACACCAACAACACCCATCACAACACCGACCACCACGAAGGCCCCAATGACCCCTTCAACCTCGAAACCTACCTGCGCTCCTCGCGCAAACAAGAGGCCCAACACGGCCTCAAAATCAAACAGATTGGCGTCTGCTGGAAAAACCTCACCGTCCGCGGCCGCGGCGGCTCCAAAGCCCACGTCCGCACCTTTCCCTACGCCCTCGCCGGCACCATAGACCCCCGCTTCCTCCTGCGCGCCGTCCTCCCCGCCCTCGACACCTCCGCCAGTGCCCTCAACCGCGCCCTGGCCCGTGCCGGAATCGTCCACCCCTCAAACAACCAGATCAACATCCTCTCCAACTTCTCGGGCCTCCTCAGACCCGGCGAAATGTGCCTCGTCCTCGGTAAACCCGGCTCCGGATGCACCACCTTCCTCAAAACAATGGCCAACAACCGCCATGGCTACTCCTCCGTCGACGGCAGCGTCCGCTACGGCCATTTCGACTCGGCCACCTTTGAACACCGCTTCAGAGGCGAGGCCGTCTACAACCAAGAAGACGACGTCCACCACCCTACCCTGACCGTCGAACAAACCCTCGGCTTCGCCCTCGACACAAAAACCCCCGCCAAACGTTTGCCCGGCGTCTCGCGCCATGAGTTTAAGCAAACCATCATCCACATGCTGCTCAAAATGTTCAACATGGAACACACCGCCAAAACCAAGGTCGGCAACGCCTTTATCCGAGGCGTCTCTGGCGGCGAACGCAAACGTGTCTCCATCGCCGAAATGATGATCACCGGCGCCGCCGTCCTCTGCTACGATAACACCACCCGCGGCCTCGACGCCTCCACCTCGCTCGATTACGCCAAAAGTATCCATATCCTAACCAA